CACACACACACACACACACACACACACACACACACACACACACACACACATACACATGCACAAACACAGAGGGTGTATTGATTGAGGAAAAACAGGTTTGTTAGTGATAGAAACTTATTTATAAATCAAATGGAAAAGTGTTTTTTAACGTATTTAATGTGATACCAAAACCAGTTAATGTCACAAACTCATGTCAAACTCAATGGCCTGCGGAAAATACCAGTTACATAAACTGAGTGCAGACGAGCTGATATTTGTTGTATGTTGATGCTTGTTTTTCTATCTGTCATCTGTCTTAATTAGCAGACGTCCATCCTGGATACTCATACAAATTCTGCATGTTCACAGCTGATGGATTGATTAGACGTCTGTAAACAAATATACGTGATCTATCACTTTAATCATGCTCTACTCTACATGTGATGGGTTTCCTCTAATATGATGCACTGATATACTCTGGTAAAGCAACTACTCAGTTGTCAGTTTTGTTCATTTGCATTTTTGAGGGGTTTAAAAGCTGAAAAAGTAGACTTTTTCTGGGAGAAGATGCGGGAAGTAAAAAAAAAACTATCAGATCAAATATACGTGATCTATCACTTTAATCATACTGAGGTGCTCAGGTAAGTTTGAGGTGCTGAGCCACTGCTTCTGTTAAGAAATTACACCCGCAATAAAGAACATCCTGTGAGGGAAGAGGGGCATAAAATACCAGAAAATGGTGCTGTCATTTTTTTTCCTCTAAAAATGATTCACATGTTGAAATATCTGTTCAGTTTGTAACAGAACTATTATTTGTACAAAAAATGTGAATTTTGAACCATAAGTTTTTACTGTTTTTGATTAAAGGCAGGAAAGTTACATCTAGGACATTTTTTTTTCTTCAGATGTTTTATTGAATACACAGCCACACATTTGATGTTAAACTCACAACAACTGGTTCATAGGAGCCTCTCATATCATACAACCACATAAAAAATCTGTTTATTAAGAAACTTTCATCTGACAACTTCCTTAATCTTCTATGAAAAATATACTTTTCCACCAGGGGTCAAATGAGGTTTGGACACAGATCTAAATCAGTGCGTGTGTGTGTGTGTGTGTGTGTGTGTGTGTGTGTGTGTGTGTGTGTGTG